GGCGCCCGCCCCCCGCGCCGCCCCCCCCCCCCCCCCCCCTCCCCCACGGGCGGAGGAGGAGGAGGAGGAGGAGGAGGAAACCCGAGCTTTGACCGACCCCAGCTCCATCAGCCCGCCACCGAACGTCACCGCGGTTACAGCCACACAACAAACAACGACCACCGTGGCTACGACTCCGCCTACGACAACCACCACGACCACACCTGCCCCAACCACCACCACCGCTTTACCAACAACCACCACCACCATTACTACCACGACACAGTCTCCACCCACCACGACTACAACCACTGCCCCCCCCACCACCACCACCACCGCTGCTAGCACAACAACAGCTAGTCCGTCCACGACAACCAGGACCTCCGTCACCACGGTGTTCATCAGGACGCAGCCTCCAACCACCACCAGACCTCCACCGTCCAGCACCGCCGCAGGAGAAAGTCCTCCACCCTGCAACGTCACCCAGAAGTACTGGGTCAAAACAGGTACGTGGGTCAAGTCCAGGCTGTCGGTACTGAACACCAGGTGGCAGTCTTTACTAGTTCAATCAGGTGAGGACGCGCCGAGAAAATGAAGAGAGCTGAACTGGTACCGATGGTGAAGTTCTGGTTCTGTCTGAGGTTAGCGCTGCTCGTTTGTTGGTTAATTCGACTTTAATAAACAATAACAAACTCCAGTCCCTGGAAAAACAATAAGAGGTTAACGATCGTTGGACGCCTGTGGCTGCCAGCTCTGATTACAGGCAGTAATTAAAATCTGGAGTGGACACAGTCGGACCGTGCTGTGGGAGGGCTAACCGTTAGCTGTTAGCTGTTAGCGAAGAGGATGGCGACGGTTGGACGTCGAGTTTCCACAGTCGTTCGTGCAGAGACAAAGATCCTGAGTCCAAGAACGGAACCGATACATGAGCCCGTTGTCATGGTTACGGTGCAGCGACAGCCCATAATAATCACATATCAATGTGTGTTTGTTGTCGACAGCTGGTCACAGAGAACCGCTGTGCTGCTGCTGCCCCCCTGTGGTCCTGTGTTGAACAGTTCTGGTCCTGCTGCTGATGTCATGTCCGTCTCGTCCGTCTCCTTCACAGTACTGTCCATCGAGCTGCGCAGGAACCGTCTGGACCTGATCCTGAAACAGAATCTGGCCAAGGGACTGAGCCACGCCCTGCAGCGAGCCCTGAACGACACCGCCGCCGCCGTCCAGGTCAGTGCGTCGAAGCGTCTCCGGTCGGACGAAACGTCCAACACTTTTCAGAGATCGTAAACTTTTCTGTTTTTGCCCCCCCCCACAGGTGGAGCGTGACGACTGCGGCCACAACAACGTCACCCTGGGTTACTACGTCAGCAGCGGTAAAAACGTCTACATCGCCGCCCTGGTGGTGGAGTCCTTGAACATCTACGGCTTTGACAAACTGCTGTCGGACATCAGGCAGCACACGCCCCTGGTCAAGGCAGTTCTGGTCCCTGTGGCCGCCTGGTCCCCGACTCCCAGCATCCACCTGCAGCTGAGGACAGGTGAGGGAGAGAGGACGAGCTACGAAAACATGATCACTGTGAGAGGAGGAGGGTGAGGAGGAGGGTGAGGAGGGGGAGGAGGAGGGGGCGG